ATATATATATATATATATATATATATATAGCAAATCCCACAATAAACACATCTCCACCACCTCCATTGTTTGACATTTACAGTATATCAAAGCTAAGATCGAGCTAAAGTGCTCTCGCTCCTTGAGTCGGGAGCTTTTTATTTTATTTTATTTTTTCTTAATGGTTTCACGGTGCAGACCGGTTTCTGTCCCATATTTCGTTTCCATTTTAAAATACTTGTAATGATTCCTTGTAAAGCTCAGCCTCCGAGTCTCCAGGGAGCTGATTACTCACACACTTAAATCTCACTGCTCATGCTTTTCAGACTCCTTTGTCAGCTTGTTGGAGGGAAGGCTGTGGGTTTTTTCACTGTATATGGGTTTCTCTGCTGGACCCCATTCATCAACATTATGGCTGCAGTAGTCGGGCCCTGGGGCCGCCTCTCCCTCCAACACCTGCAGCTTGTCAGCGTGGCCCTGTCGAGCATCGGCGCGGCCGCGAGTTGGCCTGACTGCGCACGTCTCGCAGAAACGGTAATTAAACCGAGAGGCACGTCCAAAGCAAATGTTATGTGAACAGTTAATTTCCTCAACGTCGGTAAACAGCTGTTAAACTTTTTTACCTTCTGCTTTGCGTCAGTGTCATTTCCTCTGGCGTCTGCGCTACTTTTTGGATCCTAACACACGCCTTGGCAGAGTTAAGTTTGTTGAAGTGGGATTCTGTTAACAGAAGCTACAAGCAGCTGATGTTTTCCTCGAACTTTCCCTGTAAGGAGCTTGATTTATCCAGTGGTGCCACCACATCTCTGTGTCCCCTCTGGATGAGGTCGGTTTCGTTGCCCTCACAAGCATTGATAACCACACAAAGTGGCCATCTCATTAGTTGTGCTTTGTGCTTTAAGTATAACTGTATCGATCAAATCAAAGCAGTTTTTATCTGCACATCACATCAATCAGTTTCTCCATTCATTTTTTTTTTTTTTTTTTGGTGATTTTTGCAGGAATTCACCAAAACTCAGATTCCCGCACTTTTTGTCGCTCACTCATATTTGTGAGTTTATCAGGACAGTATTTCTTACTCCTTCTCTACTGCTGCCTCAGCCTTGCTTGATGTGAAGTTATGGTCCGTGACCGACGTGGCGCACGGACCATAAGTCACATTTATTGTCTTACGTAAGCGCAAATATTACAAAGTAGCACCACAAAAATCACTGATTTTCATAGCAAAAAAAAAAAAAAAAAGTCACACAGTCGTAATCGATGTGAAAAGACGTTCAATGTTATTTCATTTGAAGCAGTACCTATGCAGACACAGTTGTTTATTAATGTTTCGTCTGCTAAAATGCCAGAATGTATTGATAAAATCCATGAACAAACTGGTGACATTTAGCAGTTCGTTAAAGGATAGTTTTATCGATACATTCTACCGACCCTTCGAGAACATTCATAGTCCTGATTATTGCACAAAATGAGAATAAGTTTGAGACCTCTGCTCTAAACCGTAACATTTCCTGTTCGGGCCACAAGGACCAATAATCATCGATCTCGACAGCACAAAGTCGTCTGTGCACAAAGTTGCAGGTGGTGGGAAAACAGTCCTGAAATGTCGGGATAAATATGTTTCGTTCACTCGCTGAGCTCTTACCTTTGAATGTGATTAGCTTGTTTCTCACATTTTTCTAAAAAAAAAAAAAAAAAAAAAAAAACGATATATTTTTTTTCTCTTCATCCTGATATCAAAGTCCTCTGTCTTGGTTTCTGCCAACCCGTACAGTGTGCATACCTTAGCTTTGCCAGGAAGTGTTTCACATATTTTTGAAGGAACAGCCTGATCTAGGATGGCTGGAATGGTGAATATGAAATTATATTGAGATGGATGAGCAATTTTTAAGCTTCAGCTGACAGACACTTTGTGGTGGCTTTGTGTAAAACCTTCTTTTACCGGCTTGTTGTTCGGTAACTGACTTAAATAATCTACATTTCCCTTTTAATGACTCTTTCTTTATTGTTGTCCCTTGATGAAAGGAACGACTGTCACATAATGATAAGGCTAAACATATATCTGCCACCGCCCGATCGTTTTTCAGAACCAGAGGCCAATAATGTCTGTAAACGACAGAAAATGCATCTAAATCTCCTAAAGATAATCAATGTAATGACACTTCTGACTATTTGTCACCTGCTCACATCAATAGATGCTTTTTCTTACTCCCGTTTGCCCTCACTGAACAATTCTCTCTGCAAAAACCTGAAAGATGGAAGTGGACAAAGCAGCGTTTCCAAAACAGATAAGATGCTAAAGTAGAAACCTCGCTGAGGTTTGCAGACAGAAGTATTTCTCATCATTTAACATCACCCAGACAGCTCAGTGATCCCAGATGTAACACTTTTCCATCACCGTGTCCGAACACAACCATCCGATGACAGATATTACAGTTCCAGTCTCTGCTCGCTAAAAGGTCATTCGCTTATATGGCAGGTACTTTTTTTTTTCCTAATATTTCTATGTCTTTCACAAAGAGAGAGAAAAATATTTAGAGTATAAAAAGGATCGAATTCAGAATGTTTTGAAACTATCATCAATGAAGCGTCTTTGTGATTATTCATAAAGCCTGAAAACGGCGTTTAGAGGATCCATTCTCTTCCAGATGATGGGCTGATTTTTTACAAGAGGCCTCTGACCCTCAGAATGATGCTCCATATTTTCATCAGACTTTTTAGTATTCATTTTTGTTTGTGTTCATTTGCTCATCTTTTCTTTCTTTTTTTTTTTCCCCAAACAAAGGGTGGCCCTGAAATCTGCACAGAAGCAAACGAGCACAGAGGAATAATTGCAGCTGAAACCTTGATGAAACACGTTTTGAAGGTCGACACGAGCGCCAGCAGGATTATTCACCTGTGCACTTATCCACTGTGCTATTTGGTTTCAATAAGTCCTTAAAATGTGCGCCGCACTTTAAAAAGCGCCGAGCTGCTGTTTCATGCATAGACACAACAGTGCAATTTATTAAATTATCACTCAATTAACTATTTTTGCTTTAGTAATTAAGCATCAGTGTAGGTCATGCTTTCTTTATAATGTACTAAAAGACTTTTCTTTTGGGTTTTTTTGCACATCGCTGGTAATCAGACTTGCCTCTACAGGTCACAAACTTGCTTTTAAATGCACCTTTAATTTGTTTATTTATTTTAATTGTTATCTTCTCCATTTAAGACGGTTTAAAAATCCTGTCTTTGATTTTGGTGTTGAATCTATTAGAGTTGTGGATCGGTTGTTAAAACTTGGATCTGAATTTCTTCTATTCACGCCTCTAAAACAAAGCCTTCCTCATCATCAACAAGCCGAGTTGAGGCGAACCTCAGAGAGGGTTTCTCTGCCCCATTGAAATCCTGTTTTTGGTTACATTTTGAAATGCATTTCAAAAAGACAGGCGCCTTGCAAGATCTGAAAAATCTCAAAACTTGATTAGGTAAATAAGGTGGCATTCACTTTTTTTTTTTAAACGTATCCTGTCCAACAGTGTGGAGTCAGAATTTCATTGATTAGTGTCAAGGTGCTTGTTGATTTATTTCCACAAGCAAAGAGGACGCTCCACTTGATATATATATGTATACATGAAACGTTGGGACAGGATCAACTCCCTCCCTTTTTTTCCTGGCTGTTTTTGAGTTGAAAATCTCCAAACGAAAAGCGCAGCTTATTTTTTTCAATCTCACACAGGTGAAAGGTCAGGCTCGAGTCTTACCCGAGTCGCGCAGGTCGCGCTACAACCTGCAAATCAGGTCTCCGCTGCCTGTTTGGGTGACGGCTTTCAAAACGAGAATCGCCAGCAGATTAAAATGCGGGGTTCGAATCATCCGTTCCCCACAGCCACTAGAAGATGCTCTGCTGCACGCAACTTTTCATATTTCTTCTGAAGCCCGTGGAAAATGAATGGCTGCATCAATCATGCAGCTGAGCCAGAGGGGAGAAAAATACAAAGTGATGGCTGGAAGCTTCACAGAGACACAAATGTGACTTAAACAGAGGAAGAAGGGAGGTTGGTAACTGAGAGTCCAGACAGAAAGAAGGCAGAGTTAGAGAGAATACAGAAAAGATAAGATGGAGAGGCTGTTCAAATGAGACAAGAGGGAGACTGAAGCACATTTTGTATGGAAAATAAACACTTGAAATGAGACCATTAATATCAGAAAGACAGATGGTGTTTAAAAAGAAAATAACAGAAGAGAAGTACACAGGAAAAACACCCTACTGAGGCTGCTAGCCAGTGCATATGTTGTGTGAAAACTTCCTTATGAATTTGAATTTGTTTGCTAATTAAGCAACTTACCAGATGACTGTTTTGCTTAATGGGCAGCAGCCAGACAATGAGGAGGCTTCAGATTCAATCTGGTGAAGTGGAGACCGGAGCAGCCTGTGTTCAATTTGAAGCGATATTTTATGCTGTTGTATTTGACTTATGACTGTTCAGCGCCTTTCAATCAACCAGTCAAAGTACGTCTCAGAATCGAGGCATTTTCAAAGTGCGCAGCCAAGCAAGTCAAACGTCTGGTGGACAGACGAGACAAAACTTCAGCTGGTTGGTGATGGTGACTAGAACAACATTTAGATGAATCACTGGAGCTTTTAAAGCCAAGAACACAGTACCTGCTGTCCGTCATGTTGGACTGGTGCATTGCACAAAGTAAATATGAACAAGGAGTTTGTCTAAATCCTTCAGCATCCCTCAATTCAACTGCTAGATGGATGAACCTTGGACACAGTTGACTCACGTGGATTAGACTTAATCGATGTTAAGGCTCTGAAATCTTGCTCTTAGACTGGGGTTGCTATGCACAGATTTTGTGTTTTTTGCAGTGTAGTTTCAGAGTTTCAAACCGCCAAGCCAACCAGGCAAGAGTCGGTGTGGATTTTAACATGTCTTACTCGAGGACAGGCCTGCTGATGTGATTTTGCTGACCCCCCAACTCGATCGTCACAGTTTGTTTTCTGCTCCGATTCTCCCTTTTGGGCGCGTAATTTGCCATAACAAATACCGTTTCTCCAGGGCGCGCCGCAATTAGATCCTGCAGCTCTGTGTCAGCCACTCGTTCAGCTCATGTTGCTGTCAATAAGTTCCCTTTTTTTTTTGCTTTTTTACTGCGTTTGGGGCATTGTCTGAATAGGCACAGTTGTTTCACCAACAGCAATAAAAGCAGGATTAGTGAAGCTGGAAGCTCTTAAGTTGGGCTTTGATTGATGATAACAACGACGCTCCAAACAGCTTCTGCTCGTCCTCGGTGCAGCCTGCTGGAGCAGACGTGTTCTATATTTATCCCCGCAGACGGGTGCAACACTGTAACTAATGAGGTTAAATCCGTTATTCGGAGACTAAATGTTTGTCGTTCATGTGCGATGCATGCCTTGTCTCCACAGTTTCATCCTGGTGTTTGGCTGCCTGGTTCTCTCGGTGTTCTCCACCATCCCTGCTCACCAGGAATTCTCTGCGCACTGCCTGCTCATCCTGGTAGGACCGACACACACTTCCACACAGACTGGTTCATTAAACCAACACGTGACAACCAGAGGGCGCATGCCTACTTAATAATGTATAAAGGTATCATTAAAGGGAGATTATTAGTAATTAATGTGTTTGCCTAACACAGAAGGTGAAAGATTGAACCTTTCTGATGTCTAATGGGTTCTTATTTTCAAAATAAGACGATGTCCAGAATTAAATTTTGACGGTAAAGCGAGGAAAATGTAGTCCTCGATTAGCTATATTGTGGGGGTTTTTTTTAGTTTAATGAGATAATTTCACAGTTCAGGCTGTAATTTGCCATGTTCAGAGGTTTGTGTGAAGCATATACACTGGATATGAGAAATGCAGACTCTTACGGTGTCAAACAGGACCAGAATAAGTCTCTTCACCTTTAATTTTACCTAAAACATGAACTCAACGGACAAACAAACTTTTCAGAAGGGAAAATGGAACTAAAAAATAAAAATGTCTAGGATGACTTGAATACGGCTTTTCACAGGATTTAGAAATGATCTCAGACAAATTTGGAGCTTTTTTTTGTATAGAATAATGCCAAAGACATCCAAGTCAAGATGAGCCATGTTGATGGACCGCTTCACAAAAACACAGACCAGCTAGTAAACCAAATGTCGATTCCACAAAATAGTTTTCAGGGATGTTATGCACCTGAATTATTCTCCTTCAGAGGAAGATTTGACTTTGTTTTTCCACTTAGATTTACCAGTTATCATCAGGGGCGTGCGTACAGTACGTAGATTTTATCCACAGTGGCTGCAGGAAATCACATTTGGTGTGAGTGTGAATACTCACTGAAACGGTGTTACCATCCTCTAAGTTTGTGTGTTTGTTAATGACGCTCACAGCAGCAATAGACTGCTGATTTCACACACCCAGGCCTGTAATGAACGTTGATGAAGCTCCACTGCTAGGTAAAATCAATATTACACTCGCCCAAATGAGTTTAACTTGTGCTTATGTGTGATTAAAGGAGTAATCCATCTGCCAAACAAAAGCCATGAATCTGCAGCAGAGTTTAATTGAATGCATAAACTAAATTATATCTCCTTCTGTCAATCAAATCTGAATTTTAGCGACAACTCGGCAGGTTTTCCTGGCTTCCACTTAAGTTTTTTACCAGATTTCGTCATTTATGATGATGCAATTTAAACATTTCTCCTGTTGCTTTTTTTGTGTTGCATCGTTTCAGTGGGTCTGTGGGTATTTCATAAGGAGTCTGGTTATGTGTACATTTAGTGTGAATATAGTGCAGGTTGCAGTTACCTCCTGTTTTATATTGCAGTCTGTTCCCAGTGAGTTTCTTTTCCCACTCCTGGTTTTGATTTGTAATTGCCACGCATGTGTCCATTTAGTCAGTATGTGCAGTTATTTTTGCCAATAAAAAGATCTTTTTTTAACCACTGTGCTTGCATCAGTTGCAGGATTTGTTGTTAGATTCATGTTTTCGAATTAAATGAACTTGAATAAACTTTTCTTTTTTTTTTTTTACTGTGATTAGTTCATTTGGATTCTGTTTTGACAAAAAGCTACTAAAGCTGCTTCTTGTCACATGACTGAACCCTCACCTTTTAAATGTTTAAAATAACCTTTTAGACAAAACCTGATCTAATTTATTAATTTCTGGGTCACAACTTTTCACAGTTTGCGACTTTTTTCTTTTTTTTTTTTTTTTTTTTTTTTTTAAAGGACACAAAATAATCCAGAATTAAATTTTTTGAAATTAAATAATCTTGAAACCATTTGAAAAACTCCACTGGTCTTCAAGAAAAATTTTGAAAAGACTTAAATCACATTTAATCCTTTAGAAACTATTAGAAAACTCATGTTTATGAAGTATATTTGTTTGGAATGAACCTATTTTTTTCAGTTTTATTTCTTCTGGACTCCTTTTTTTCCCTTTTCTGTGACTATTTAAAGTTGTGTTTGTGCGTGTGTGTGTGTGTGTGTGTGTGTGTGTGACCTGAAGGAATTTGTGATGATTGTAGTATTTGGACTTGAGTACATCATCAGGATATGGAGCGCTGGCTGCTGCTGTCGATACCGAGGCTGGCAGGGCCGCCTCCGCTTTGCCAGGAAACCCTTCTGTGTCATAGGTGGGTCTAATAGGATGATAAATACGAAAACACACCAAAGATGCAGCTTGAAAATATTTATGTTACACTGGATTTATTCAGAATAGAGTTTAAATGCTCACAAATTTGCATGCAGGAAAATTGTTAGAGTGTAAAGTTCTGCTGACTTTATTTGCAACTTTATCTGTGCCGCATAAACCATTAATCAGAGTAGCAGTAAACACTGTAATAGAAATGAAAACAAACAAAAAAAACCCCAACTTTTCATGAATCAATAGCTGTTTTTAAAGGAGATAGATGACTGCCTGGTTGGATGTAGAAACCAGTTCCTGTTGCCTATATTGTGCTTCCCATGACCTTTAATTTTCACCGCTTTACTCCCCAGACATCATCGTACTTATCACCTCGGTTGCTGTGGTTTCAGCTGGTAGCCAGGGCAACGTCTTTGCCACCTCTGCACTGCGTAGCCTTCGCTTTCTTCAGATCCTGCGCATGGTGCGCATGGACCGCAGGGGAGGGACCTGGAAGCTGCTGGGATCTGTAGTTTATGCACATAGCAAGGTGCGATGTCTACGTTACCTTTTTTTTCTTTCTTTCCCATTTGCCGTTTCCATCCCACTTTGGGATGTGGTGATTTGTTGCACATCGGTGTTGAAATGTTCTTGTTGTGTCACTTAAGCACCACCAGGGAGCAATTTATGCTGTTTTTCACTTATGCGTGTTCAGTCAGGGTTTGGCTTTTGAAACGTGTCTAGTTTGTTTACATCGTTTTAAAGAGGAGTGAGAACACACTGAAAGGTACAAGCCAGAGCATTTATTAATGTAACAACATATATAAAAATGAATTAAGTGTATAAATATTTAATGTATTGCTGGTGTAATCCGCATGAAGTATCGCTACACATGGAGAAAGTATTTACATTCCCCTCTTAAGTGCCAGCACCGTATGTCTGCAAGTATAATCTTCTTAAAAGTACATGATAGATCAATTTTATTAACAGGAAAAGACACTGAGCACGGAACATAAACAGCCTTACATCAAGCACGCAAGTAAAAGTGATTTACGAAAAATCCCGTTGTGACTTCCATTTCTGCTCCATTGCATTGTGTACATTATACACAATGCATTCAGACTCTCTAGCTTTGTCTTTTTTTTTGTCACTGCAGCCACCTTGATAGACTGAAATAGTCTCGCATAAAATGGAAGTCAATAGAAAAAGATCCAATTTTTACAAGTAAAAGTTGTGTGCATTAATATTCGGCTGATTTTATTCTAATATCTGAAAAGTGCGTCTTGCAGAGAGTTGCTCATTTCACAGCAGCGCGTTGAGCAGCCTTGTGCTGCTCAGAGTTGAGCGAAAAGCTTCAAACTGCTGTGCTCAGCTGCAAATTTTGGACAAAACCAAAATAGCATGCAGCCTACTTAATGCAACGATGAATTGTCCTCCCACTGAGGTTATAGTTTTTCTAAATTAATTTTTGAAATAAAATGACTTCTTTTGAAAACTGAGAATCTTCAGACTCTTAGTTTGAGACAATAAAAACATTTTCCTTACATTTTTTGGAAGCTTCCTGTTTACATTTCAATTTTAGAAAGTTAAGCATAGTGATTAATCATCACATGTCACAGCGCTAGAATGAGACCAATCTGACTATTATTTTTTATCGATTGTGGAAATCGATAAAATATATATATATATATAATTTTTTTCACAATCGATGAAAGAAGAAGCGATAACACATTCACAGGATGTATGTCACCATAATTCCAATACTATCTGGTTTAAAAATGTAATCCTTTTGTTTAGGCTGGAGACTTATTTGGATTCATTTTGTGAATACCTCATTACAGGATCACAGCCTATGATGTCCATTTGTTTTGTTTCTGCCTATTTTTTTTCTAAAAAAAAAAAAAAAATCTCAGTTACTGTAAGCTTTTTTTTTATCCATTTGCAAACAATTAATAATCCCTCAGGGACTGTTTGCCACTTTCCTGTCAAAGCACAAAATTAAAGGTCTTGGAGCGTAAAAGGAAATTTTTCTCTCTTAACTCTGGATTGCTCCAACGTCTGCTTGCAGGAGCTGGTGACTGCTTGGTACATCGGGTTCCTGGTGCTTATCTTCTCCTCTTTCCTGGTCTATCTTGTGGAAAAAGAGTTCAACAAGGAGTTTGACACGTATGCTGACGCTCTGTGGTGGGGCACGGTAAGGACACACATCAGACACACACACAACCGCCTCTGTGAATGACACACTGTCTCAGAGACGCTGTTTTCAAACTAAGCAGGGGACTAAGGCTTACATTTATAGGATTTGTACATCTGATATAACTGAGTATGTCTCCTTTTAACTGATTAAGATATGCAAGAGCCTCTTTGTGGCATTCTGTCATACTTTTTAACGTTCGGCGTAATATACGGGACCAAGGCTTCTTTTCCTCACTCTCTGACATTAAATCCAACCAAACTTACTTTAGGTTTGGTTGGATTACCAAGACTATTTCTACGTATTTGCCTAATGTCAGAAGACCGGGACAAACTTTTCAGATAAATATTTATTGCTTTACTAAACTAGACGTGTTAATGCACAGAGATTATAGTGTTTTCAGTAATTTGTAACGGCTAAGATGAGGATTTTGTAGCTTTGTAAATTTCCAATAAGTTAAGTCACAGTATTTGAGGTAACTAGGGATTCATCTGTGAATGGTTTTCAAGGCAACATCTCAAATATATAGAGTCTTTGTGTGAAATCAAGGAAAAATCTGACAAGGTGTCAAAAACAGAATTGTAGAGAATCATAAATTAATTTCTTGAAGGTGTTATTATTAAATAAGTATTAAAAAAACATGAAAATGTCCAGAGAGAGGCCCCAGAAATTAAAGTGTTTTGTAGTAAAATATGCATTATTCAGATTGAAACGAGGCCTGTAAGAACATGGGTTGAAAGGCCAATCAGAAAGGAAGAAGCCATTGCTTCAAAAGCAACATAAAATGTCAGATTATAGTTTGGAAATGTACCAGGGGATAAAAACCTTACATTTTGTGAAAATGCGCTTAATTTTTGGAGAACGGTTTTGTGGTGAGAAACTAAAATCGATGGAATGACATCATGAATATAGAATGTTATAAGGAAATTTTGAAGCAACATTTTGGGATATAAGGAAGTTGAACCAAATGAGCACTGACACTGAGAAAAACACCAAATTTGTCAAAAGTGGCTTGAGAAATGAGCCAAGAATTACTGTGAATTATTTAATTTCCCTTTGGGATCAATAAAGTATTTTTGAATTGGAATTTAAACAATTACTGTAAACTTTTACTGTCACGAGAAAGGACAGCCAAAATATAGTAAAGTCATGAAGTTTAAGAGCCACTTTTTAATTCCCAACACCAAAGGTGTGTAGGTATGTTTCTAAATTTGAAGCAAGTGAGAAAAAAATCTCAGAAAAACATGATTTTCTGGTTATTCTGGTATTGATCAAATATGAAATATTTTGTTATTACTAACTGACTTGAAGGAGGAAAATCTGAGTTATATTTATTGTACATTGGTAAGAGAGAAAAATAGGATTCATTTTAACAGTATTATGTAAGCTTTCAGTTTCAAATATGAGAATTAAAACTGAAATCTAAAATCCTCATATATTGTTTCTTAATACTTAACTCTGGCCCCTTTAAATTGCCTGAAAATGAGACACTTTATAAAAAAACAACAAAAAAAAACAATCCTGTAATGCTGGGCTGCATTTTTTGACAACAGTGCTACATTTCCATTTTCACTTCCACTGTGACCCTTATAACACCAGAAACCCAGAAACCACCACGAAGGTGTTTTTCTCTTTTTTTTTTCTTTTTTTTTTTTTTTTTTTTTTTTTTTCCCCCCAGGGGGGCCCCACCCCCCTTTTTCCCTTTTTTTTCCCCCTTTAA